GCCATCATGACGAAAGAAAAGAATTTCGTCTTGTATGTCCCTACGTTGCTTGGGTAACTATGTATTCCCGCTTCAATGGTAGGTCGTTTGGAAAAATAGTAAGAATCCTTGTCCTTACTCTTTTAAGAATGTACGAGCAACCAAGCTCTAGTGCAGTTAGCTCGCCCAATCTGTTCTTGCCACACGCAATGTACATAGCCACGGCTATCATGTACACGTTCGGCGTGAGTTGTAATGGTGTGATCCCGAAATGATTAAGGACCGACCTAACAAAAAGGTGAAAGGGGATCTGCCCTCCACTCTTGAATATGTTCTCAAAGATTGCAGCCATCCCTCGTGATGGACTCCGAGCTGTGTGTACCCTATCTCGGAAGACCTCTACGTCAAGAGCGTATTGGTCTACCACCTTCTGGATCTCATAGGCAGTAATTACCGATAGGATCTCTTGAGGGGGACCCTCCTCAGTCCTGGTCATTGGGGAGTCCATTCTTTTGCGATCTGAAAAGAAAAGTGACATGCAGGGAATCACTCAGTCTTCGTACACAGTTTCGTACGATGACGTGAGGAAAAAGAAAAATACTTCCTCCGTTAAACCCTAGAAAAATCCTAACATAATACATTTAGAGCCACCATCAATGGCTCAATCCCAAAGAGAATGTTTCATCTCTGATCAACTTCCGACAGACTGTCATCGCACGACAACTATTGAAAATAAGAAAAAATAGTAAAGGTGGTAGAAGGATTATCCTTACCTCTTGAAATGAGAAGATTAGTCCTCCTGCTCCAGATATCAAGCGTGCACCAATCTGATAGACAAAGAATCAAAGGTCACGGAAATCTCTTGCTCTTTCTCTGAGAAGATGAATACTGTGACATTGCCTGAAGTGAACTTGGGATTTTATATGGAAGGAAATGGTGCTTTGGTTTCCCGACGTCAAATGACGTTTGGGTGGAAAACGCATCTCACCGTTGATCGCGACCACGTGTCATAGATCAGCGGAGAAGAGTGATCGTCACGCTTCGAGAAACCAAATCGTCGTTCTCTTCCATTGAAACACTTAAGCGACGGCACGTTTTCCCTATTCCACATTAAATGCGCTCACATCCGCATTAAATGCTCTAATATGGAATGTCGTTTCAACATGGCTCGCATTTAATGCGCATGGCTAGCACTTATTGCGCACAGGACACGTCTGTCAGAGCAAAAGATAGTTCATTAAATGCATCAGCTATGAAAGTGCAACGGATAACATCTGAAGAGGTTGTTACCTACAACACTCTTCGGCTCATGTCTTACCGCGAAGCAACGTGACTATTCGACTTGGACGTATATTAGCCGCGAAACCATACGATCTCTTGCCTTACGCAAAAAATTCCATAGTGCAATCAGGTCGTAAACCTCGGGCGAAGATCGAAGCCATCGTTGTGGCACTGGATGTGGTCTAATGCAGGTCGCTGACCCTTAAAGTAAATGCCATTTTAGGTCATCTGCATGAAAATGTTTCTTCGACCTCTTGGCATCCAGGTCGAGTCAACCAGTGTTCAAACGCATCAAATCAAGGTATTCTAATGAGTCTTTAGTGAGTTATCACTAAAGACTCATTAGAATACCTTATACATTATACTCTAAGCTAATGTTTAAATCTTATTCTAATGAGTCTTTAGTTATCACTTCTAATTAGTCTAAACAAGATTGATTAGATCATTAGTTTGAGTTTAAATCTTATTCTAATCTGACCAAGTTGTTGGCTTTCTTTTATGATATGAGAATCATCTAAATTCATATTATATATAATAATTTTTGAAATATTTTAAAAGCTATTTGAATTTTCTTATCTTTTATTTTGATACGAGAAGATTTTTGTTATTTTAATCTTATTTTTTATTTGTATATATAAAAAATATAAGAATAAAATTTTGTTGAAATTATGATTTTAAATTTCCAATAAATTAATAAAAAAACACAAAAGTAGAAAATCTAAAATTAATTCCTTACCATTTTATTGAGAGATTAAGGCTTGGTTTGGAATTGCTGTAGTATCATTTTTTAGCCAGCTTTAGCCATAATCAACTTTTAAAATAATTTACAAGATGTTTGTGTTTTCATAAATTTTAAAACTACTTCTACTTTGAGGACAATGAATTTTGGAAGTGTAAAATGAAAAAAATAGATTTTTTTTTTTTTTAGTAAGTTATGTTAAATTTTAAAATATACTAGTAATATTTTTTTAAATATAAAAAAAAAAAAAAAAACTGGCCGGCGTTGTCAAAAGAGACAGAAATATGAACAAGGTCCCAAAAATTTAAAATAATAAAATTTTCAAGTCTTGATTATATAAGATTTGAAATCTATAATAGATATTCTTTTATAGTAATTGTCATCTAATTAAAGAACGAGAACAAATAATTTAGTTATATTAAGTATCAGGATGGACAATTAAAATAAAAACCGATATATAAATTTATGTAATTTGTAATAACCGTATCAATCTACATCTACCAAAGAACCACTCATTGGCGTTGACTTGCGCAGGGTGGCTCTGCTCTAGTTCGACCCTCTGGGGTAATATTATATTTACGCTTTTTTTTACACACTTTTTATTATATTATGATATGATATATACTACAATCACATAAATTATATTATAATATATAAAATCAAAAATAATTAAAAATTTATGTTGATCATAATGTAATAAAAATGATATAAAAGAGTGATGTAAATATAATATTATTCTTTACGTTAAACGAAATTATGAATAAAAATAATATAAAAGAGTGATATAAATATAACATTACCCCTTACGTTGAACGAAGTTATGGATGAACACGTGAGAATTAAGGTTTAATAGTAATTTTTTGTGGGTTCATATATTAATAAATTTTTTTTTTAATCTGAAACTTACCCTCAAAAAGATTGACTCCATCCTTGTCAATGACCATCCTATTAGTAAGTCAGAGAAATTTAATCTTAAAGTATTTTGAGTAATAAACTCAAAATTTTGTATCGAATCACGCCATCATACAATATAAAGGTCGTTACGTATACGACAAGTTGATTCCATTATCACTTCTTCCACTGATTAACTGATTACGAAAGGTTGACAGGCTCACCTTATTTGAACATGGCCGACTTTAATGTATATTGTCGTTTTATGATTACGTTTCTCTCCGAGTCATTGCAATATATATAGTATTACTCAATAATACAGGCTGCTGCTTCAAATCAACGGTTCATGCATATATAGCTTTTGGAGGACGACGACGACCGGGGTCATGTATCTATAAGATATACAATTTAATTCATACTTCAACTTGCTTTCAATAATTATATGATATGGATAAGAAAAAAAAATTCAATACAATCTGAAAGAGTCAGAGCCTATACATGCATGTTGCATGGACGTTCATACTTCAAAAAACTACACAAAATTAATAGACGAATTTTTTTAACAGCAGGTTCATGATTAATTATAGAAGAAACTTGTGAAATTAAATGAATATGATATGGCAATGAAAGTAATTATCTGTACGTGCTGATACATCATTTTGATGGTTAAAATAATTGTAGAGATTTCTTTAAGGGGAAGTTGAATTGTGATTTTGTCTGCAATAATCGATTTGGAAACTATTTATTAATTGCATGGGTTGGCTTGGCTTGGATAGATATATAAGTTGTTAATTATCTATGGCGATGGACATATAGATAGCTAGTGATGCAAAATGAGAGAGAGAGAGAGAGTCAATCTCTGGGTGATCGAGTGGTTCGATAGAGATTCTTGAATGTATTATTAAAAGAGTTTTGAGTTTGAGTCCTTCTTTGATTACTAATATAGGTGACTATTGAAGTTTTTACTCGATTGATAATTCCAATTTTCAAGGTTCCGAAAGATTAGTTGATTAAAAAAAAAAAAACAAAAAAATTGAAAGAGGAAATCAATTAGACCGCGGGTCTTTGTAATGAAGGGAACAAATTTGGCCCAAATTAAGGCTGTGGTAGACAGCTTTTCAATTAATTACTTGAATCATGGGATTCATTCGATCTGAATCACTGGAAGATTGAACCAAAAACTCAATTGGGAAGATTATTTTATTTTATAAATTTTTGTTTACTTGACAAATTCCTAAATTCACTCCTTATGTTGAAGAATACCGTAAATACTCACAATATATTATTATTTGAATAACGTAATGAAAAATAAATCCTTGAAATTCTGCACTACTCACCAATATATTTTATATCACTAATTGGTTGTGTTTCCGTTGACCATTGAACAATTTCAATGCAACTTGTTAAAAAATTTTGGGTCCAAACAACCATGACTTGACTTAGTTTTCCTATATATATATATATAAAAGTTGAGTCTGGATGGTCGAGTGGTTCAATAGAGTCACTTTTCAGTTGTTAATAGGGGTAACCACTAAAACTCTTATTCGACCGATAGTTCCAATGTTTGGGACACCCCTAATCATAAAAAAAAGGTTGAACTATTATTTACAAACCCAATTCAATTGAACTCTCGTCATGTTAATATGATGATATAACAAGATAATATTATATAAGTTTTCTTGATATTATCTTTATTACATAGATTTGTTGTTAACATGTATACATATATACAATTATGGAGTTAAAGGAGACTTGATTTTCACATATTTTTTTCTACACTCATAAGAGATGATGTTGTCAATTAAACTAAAGCTAATATCTACTATTCTAAGAACAATGGCTTCAGCCTGATTCTTTATCGTTAATATATAAGAGAACTTTTTGCTTACAAATTACAAAAGGTAAAAGAAAACTTTATTAAGCATGTATGACACAAGAGCCGGTAAATATTGTCAGAGGAATCAAGGAATTGACATGTCTACCCGATTCCCAACAAAGCGAACAAAACAACAGCTAGCACAACACCTGCAGCCAAAACTGCAGATCTAAATTGAAAACACACCAAAAACACAATCAATGTTGATAAACAAAATCAACAGTGCCCATTCAAGAGGTTGAGAATTAGGCAGGATCATTAATTATTTCCTTTGTTTCGGAATTACCATAAGAGGTTCCAGCTTCAGCAATGTCACACCGAATTTCTCATTCATGTCTAGCTCCTGAGGTTTCATTGTATCTGGAAGAGACCACTCGAAGTGATGAATTAAAGATGCCAAAGCCAACTGAACCTGCCTAATAGCCATCGGCATGCCTGCACAAATCTTCCTTCCACTACCAAACGGAAGATAATGAAAATCAGAGCCTTTGTAATCCAAACTAGAATTCAAGAACCTCTCTGGTTTAAAACTCAAAGGCTCTTCCCAAATGGTAGGGTCTCTTGCAATTGCCCATACGTTCACGAAAACCTGAGAATCTTTAGGAATGGTGTATTTCATCACCTCACAATCTTCGATCGCTCTGTGTGGTAGCAGAAGTGGCGCTGGAGGGTGTAATCTCAAAGTTCCTTGACGCATGCATACAAATAGGGAAGGTTCGCCAGATGTTCCTCTCTTACGAAATCTTCTGAGATTTCCTCTGCCAATTCTTTCTGGATTTTCGACATGGTTTCAGGATTCTTCAAGAGTTCCGCCAAGGCCCATTCTACTGTTGAGGTGGTGCTATCAGACACTGCAGCTAATAGTTCCTGAAATGTTTACAATAAATTACACCTAATCAATCACTTATCATTATTTCTGAAATAGTGTTTAAGGTGTGAGCAGAACAGAGAGAGAGAGAGAGAGAGCATACCACAAAGACAAAACTGATTTGTTCATCAGAAAATCCACTGTCAAGCAAAACGTCCAAGAAATCTCTGTTCTTATTCGGATGATCGCCACTTCTTCTTTCTCTTCTCTCTATTATCGTGCTATCCCAAATCCCACACATTTTTTTAACACACTCATCGGCCTTCCTCCTCAGACCCTGAAGATCCAACCCGGCCAATATTGGATACAGATCGGATATATTTGGTGCTGTCCATAACTCCATCATGTCTCTTACAAGCCCACTCATTCTTCTACTTGCTACTCCTCCAAAAGCTAAGAAATCTTTCGACAAGTAAATATTTGACAAGGAGTTAAACGTGTTAACAAACAAGACTTCCCGAATTGGCACTGTTTGTCCGTCCTTTGAACCCAGAAACTTTACCATTTCACTAACCTTTTTTTCTCTGATATGCGACTGACCATCAACGATTTTTGACCCGAAAAGCTCATTTCTCATGAGATTTCGGAAATTCCTCCACTCTTCAGAGCACTCGAAGGTCCAAGCAATTGAGTCCCGATTGTACTCAGGCTCTCTTGCAAATGACACATGTGGCACGTGCCTGCCAGAGAGTTCCCTGTCGTGGGTCTTGAGTATGGCAGCTGCAGCAGCCGGAGAGGAGCCGACAATGACAACTTGAGTTCCAAGACGGATGGAAATGAGAGGGCCATAAGCCTTGGAAATTTGGGCCATTGACACATGTGGCTTGTCACCTATGAGGGGAAGGTTTCCTATGATCGGCCATGGTTTTGGACCTGGTGGGAGTCTAATTGAAACTTGATTTTTGGAAAATTTATGCTTCAAGACGAAAAGAAAGAGAGGAACTAGAAGCAAGAAAGGAAGAGAAATATATGTTTCTACTAGTATGAGTCTGGAGGCCATAGCTTGCATGGAATAATTTAATTTTGGAATATTGCAGTCATGCAGTGCTTAGAGATTTACAAGCAGTGGATATTTATAACAATTATCTACCGACAGAAAACAGTGTACAGTTGAGATTTACAAGTATTGGATTTTTATAGCAAATATCTAGCGATAGAAAACGGAGTATGTAAAGTTTTTCAAGAAAGCAATGGTCCAAGACGCAATCACTATGATTGTCAAATAATGTAGCTTATCGTGTATCTAAAACATAATTTTTTTAATTGTATACCGTATATAGTACCGTGTATCTAAAATATAATTTTTTAAATTGTATATCATATATGGTATTGTGATTCGTGTATCCAAAACATAATTTTTTAAATTGTATATCACGTATCATATCGTATATTAGAATACTGTCTTTTTTTAAAAAATTAATAAAATACTATAACTTTTTTAAAAATTAATATCATTCTCATGATTAATTAAAAAAATTTGTGATATTATTAGCTTTAAATTATGGTATTACATAATCAAAATTAATCACAAAATTAAGAATTTATATCATTTCCAAGATCAATGTCAATATCTATAACTTCACTTGTGTTATTATTATCATACAAAATGGGCAACACATCTTCATTTTACTTTCTCCATACAAAATGGGTAAATTTAGACAAATTTTAGTGAACCAGGTTGGGTGACTCGGATTAGACTTGAAATTTTTTTTGGACCTTTGGCCTAAATTAATAAAGTCGTATCAATTTATATCGATATTTTTAAGGATACAAACTGATACGTATCGTATCTTAGGATATATATTAACGTATCGATAGGTTTAGGATATACTCTCTAATACGTATCGTTGGTGACCCGTATCATATAATACGTATTGCGTATCGTAGGATACCAACAACCATGGCAACCACCACTCAGTAGCGCAACAGTTAATTAGGATTCTTAGGTATATTACTTGAGAGATTTTGAGTTTGATTTACTTAGGTTTTTAATAGGGGTGGCCACTTTCGGAATTTACCTGCTGTTAATTTTAGAACCTCGAAAGATTAGTAAAGATGCACATAAGCTTGCCTGGACACCCCGTCAACAAAAAAAAATAGTCAGCCTAGTCTGTCCCGGCTAATAAATATTAATTTTATATATTATCATCAGATAACACACTCCGAATTTAATACTCTTTACAATGTTATACAGTAACAAAATTTTGAAAACCAGAATACAAATAGATTATTTTTGAGAAAATAAAAGAAAAAATTAATTGTGCATTGATTGAACTTCCTATACACATATGCAACCGCTGCTATATTGTCCGGACTCTGTACGTGGCCAATATTTGTTCATTCAATTAATAAATAGTTGTCAACTATTTATAGTTTGGTATAAATGTATATATATTTTTAAGAGCAATGTTATAATTACTGAAAAATATATATATACAATTCATACACCAACAAATGTGGTAGCATTTAAAAAAAAAAAATTATAATTAATCAACGATCATGATGATGTCACGTATATCAATATATAAATTTGATATCAAGAAAGGCCATCTGTTTGCTAAACATCAGGTGTGCCAATGCCAAACTGGCTAGCTACATATTCTTATGGACTCCGGATTTTGCAGTTTTCGTGGTGGACTCTCTCTTTCTTTCTGTAGACATGCACATCCATGATATCATGATTATTACCCAGCAACTTTATGAGGATGATGAATCAAGTGCTTCGTACCCTTATCGGAAATAGAGCGAGAGATAAAAATTCATTCTGTTATATTAATATGATACTATAAAATCAAAAATTTGATATTCAAAGTTAAACCCTCAACTTAAACATATAACATTATTTATAACTTAAAAAAAAAAAAAAAAATTATACAAATGACATGATATCTTATAACCTAAACTATATATTTACAACATTATGTTAAAAAGAATACCTGCAAAGAGGCTGGAAATTAATGATCAAATTCTAAAACCCGAAGACCCGCAATATTTGGTTGACTACTGACTGTGTAGAATGTGTGAAGTCAAGCAATTTTTTCCTTAATGCTTTTTCCACTAAGCCATAGTCTTATGGTTATAATTTACACGGAAGAGGTCAAGCTCACCGTGTTTGAATTCTCTTATTTATTGATATGTCATGCAAGTGATGTCACTTATGTGTATGGGTAATACACCGCTGAGTTCTAACAAATGAATCTCATAAATATAACGTGGTAGTTGATAATTTGATTCTAATGAATTTTTCCATCTAATGAATTCATCAGAAACAAATTATAATTTCACCGGGATTATGAGAGAAAGTTTGTGAGATTAGTTTGTAAGCCTCTATACATATTTCTATATTTTGCTATTATTATTATATTATTATAATTATTTAGATTGGACATAAGAAACTTAAAATTATTTTAGTTTAATTGAACGAAACAAAAAACATGATAAGAACAATTTCAGTGGTTGTAGATCATGATCTTCAAATCAATTTTCATGCATGATCTTACCAAAAAAGTTATATCGAAGCACTATCGGCCAGATAGTCAGTAGTACGTCGTTGTACCAAATTCTGGCCACCTTTCGACGGTGGTGGCCGGATTTGGCAAATATGGGTTGGTGAGGTATTTTATTAATTCTATAAAAAAAAGGAGGGTGTTTAGTTAAATTAACAACCTACAGGGTTTAAAAATAATTAAATAAAATTGAATAATATTTTCAGACTAAGAAAAAAACGTGTATTTCAGATAGGATGCATTTCTATCCCATTTTGTGGGTTGTGACCTGCAAAAAGTTTCACGTTAGTACCAAGTTGTTTTATTAATGTTGTTGTACCAAATTTGGCCACCTTTCGACGGTGGTGGCCGGAATCTGGCAAATATGGGTTGGTGAGGTATTTTTATCAATTTCTATAAAAAAAAATTTGAGGGTGTTTAGTTAAATTAACAAACCTACAAGGTTTAAAAATAATTAAATAAAATTGAATAATATTTTCAGAATAAGAAAACAACATGTATTTGGATAGGTAGGATGAAAATTGTGAAAAAATGCATTTCTATCCCACTTGTGGGTTGGGACCTGCAAAAAGTTTCACGTTATTATCAAGTTTTTATTAATATATCTAAGTTGTTTTTATAATATATCTAGAGTTTCTATGTTACACTCACCTACAAGATCATTACAAGTCCATATATTTTCTGTCAAATGAAAAATCAATTACTGCTTTGAATCAGTTCAGCGTTACATTTGCTCTGGCTAGAAGATAGAATGACTTTTAGGAAAGTTTTGAAAGCAAGATGAGAACTAGCGAAAGTTTGTCACTTGTATGGCTGCAATTAATTAGGCTCACTACATGCGACAATCGGCTATTTGGTAAAATCATTGTAGACCCGATAATTTCTCTTCAAATGTTAAGAATTTAACCGAAGGTATCTAAGTCCGCTCTTACGCACCTCAACTAATCTTTTGGGGTCCTAAAATTAATATAATGTAAGCCTCCAGTAGCCATCCTATTAGGAGCTGAGATAAATCAAACTCAAGATCTCTTAAGTAATACACCGAAGAGTCCTAATTGACCATTCGATCACCAATGATAGTTAAGTATCGTCAATTTCATGACCATCATACCATGTAATCACTGTCTGCGCCAGAGAAAGACGACCATTCTGGTATAAAATTATTGATGCTCCTGACTGCCTCCTTTCTACAATGTTCTTAGTTAGGACCAAGTAAATTTATATCAGTATCAAATTGTAGAAATGCCACTGATTAATTCTCTAATTCAGCTTCTGCTGACTGAGTGCTGACTAAATAATAGAAGCAGAGAAAATAGTCCATTGAATGATTAGCCAATGAATCCTTAAGCCCATATTTCTTTGGGCTTTTAAGCCCATATTATCTTTAAACAAAGTCCAATACCCATTTCCTGGTTCTATGTGTTAATCTATAAGCATTTGAAAGGACAAAGGCACAAAGCACTGTCACCTGTTTTGGATGTAGTAGAAGGAGAAGGAGCAGCAGCAGTAGCAGAAAGGAAAACAAAGTTGTGAACACCATGGCCGACGATGATTACAATGAAATTGTATTGGGTAGTTATCTCTTTCACTGTAATATGATTTCTACTTATACGAATTAGGGTTTCAATTCTTCATTTTCATTTGCGATATCTTTTAAGAGCCTAAAGATATTACCCATGGTGAGTGACTGAGTTCTGATTTTTTTTTTTTAATTAAATAATCAGTTTTTGCATTTCAATAAAGATGTTTATTAGATGTGTAGTTTCTTATAATTGATATGCATTATTTTGATGGTGTATGACTTATATATTAGATTGTTCCAAGTTGAAATTATCTTTACTGTTCATTATAAAACCACTGTTACAACATTATACATAGTTTATGACTATTTTCAGTGATGGAATTTTTTTTTTTTTCTCCTTTTAGTTGGTTTATGAACTTAGTGAACTGAGTAAAATTTTTTGCAGATACGAGGATGAGCCACCAGAGCCCGAGATGAAGTAAGGAGTTATAGTTTGTTTTGCCTACTGAAAAGTGTCATGAACTTTTGTTTCTTTACTGTCTTAATGAACTAACATGAACTTTGGTTGAGTGCTGAAATAGGAAGGAGCCGAGGAGGATGTAGAGATAATAACAATGAAGATGTAACAGGAGATCTATGAAGCTGAGGAAAAAGAAGAAGAGGAACAAAAGAAGCAGCTCGGAAAACATAAAAATATATGACCAAAGAGCGTGCCAGAATCTTAGGTACTCGAGCTTTGCAGATCAGGTTTTTCTTCTTTCTTTCTTTGTGTAAACCATACAACTAATTTTTGTTTATATCTGGGTCAAATTAATAATAAGTTTCTTTTCACTGAGCAGTATGAATGCTCGGTGATGGTTGAATTGAAGGTGAGACTGATCCGCTTGAGGTAAGATTCTTTGAGAGTAATGTTGGATGACTAATCTTTTTTTTTGCTTCTGTATCATATCTTATCAAGTCTGCAGCCATCTTTCTATAGTTAGGATTCTACTGGTTGCACCCA